GTCGGATTTTGTTGGTATAATTTATTTTTTTAGCAAGTATAATGGTTACATATTTACATGTTGAATTGGCTGTTGATCACAAGTAAAAACATTTTAAAGTAGCAAATATTTTTATTTTTTCATTTGTAGCAGTAGCACTTCTTTGTAGCAATCGGAAATCATAAAACTTCGATTGCTCTAGACTTTTAGTTTCTATTAAACACCGAGTTCCATTCATTTGGCTCCATTTATTTCATTGGGTGATGTACTTTGTAACAATTTGAGCAGTAGTTGTATAATATAGCCTTTAATCCCGGAATTCTACTATTAACTCGAGTCGTACCACTCGAAAGTTCTTTCAGAACAATGTTGCGAACTTTTGAGTAAATTCCCTTTAACATTTCTTTCTTGCTCAATTAGTTTTTCATATTGTCTGAAATTTGTTATAAAAACCCTTTTGACCACTTGTTTGATTTAGTCTGTCTGTGGGAATTGGTGGAATTAGATATCTTTTTGTTGTAGCCATTGAACCTAGCTGGAATATATTTATTTAGTTTGCTGTGATCATTCGTAGAAACAGATATATAGTGAGTAGCTTTAGCCGGTGTCGATTTTATTTATACTAATGAAGCCATCAAGAATCTTTTCACTTTCAGGTTATTTGTAACTGGAGCTCATCCCTACATGTTTGCGGGACAGAGAAGTTAAATATCTGAAAGCGCATACCATTCAACTTAGATGTTTGCGTGACAGCTCCAATTACATTCAACTGGTATTTGTTCCAATATCCGATTGGCTATCTTAGCTCCTTTATAAAAGCGCGCATCTTTATTTCAGACTAGGTTTTTCTTTGTAATACCTATGCTTCTCTCTTTACTGCTTTAGCCCGTCCCGGAGGGATGCTGCTTCAAAGCCAAAAATTAGAACTACAACTGCAGCTAAGCAAACATACCGTCTAGCACCGAAGCATAAAATATAAAGGTGTAGCGAAGAAAACCTTGAAGAAAGGCTTTGGCTTTATTACTCATCTAATGCTTAGAAATAGATTTTATACCTATGCTTCTCATTAAAAGAGAGATTTGTCCATGTAAATTAACATATAATGTATGTATTTTTTTTTTTTTTTTTT